GCCTCCTTGTCCCTGCTCAGCAGCCTGGGAGGTGCCACCCCATCGTCCTGCCCTTGGCACTGCACATCCCACATCCCAGTCCCCCAGGAAGAGCCCTGAGCAATGAGGCAGGGACAGGATCTTCCTTCCCAGGGGTTGGGGGTCAGGCCTTGGTCCTTTGGATTAGGGAAACACATCCAGGTTTCCCCAGCATCAGAGCCACCTTTCCGTTGCTTGTCCATCCTTGTCATCACTGTCTGCAGTTTTCTGCTCTAAGTGAACCCTGGAAGACTTTGTCAGTCATGTCCCTCAGTGGGACCCATTACCACTACAAGAAACTTTAAAATTTGAATTTGACTTTAAATTCTTTAGAGGTTTCCTCAACTTCCTCTAAGGGACTGATGCTCAGGGACTCATCCCCAAAGCCCCTGAGGGTGATGAAATGGCTGGGGCTGTTCCTGTGCTGCTGAGCTGGGCCGGGCTCCTGGCATGCAGGCAGCTCCTGGCAACCAAGAAGAGCTTCAAAGAGACAGCTCTGCCCAGGAGCAGCTCCTCTGCACAGCCCAGCAGGGATGAGGGCACTGCCAGGGCAACTCGGGGACACCAGCAGGGCACAGGCAGAGCTGAAAGGGGCTCAGCACTGGCAGGAGGGCTGAGAGCTCCCTGCAGGAGGAATCTGGGCAGGGTTACACACAGTGAGTCTGGCTGCAGGGCAGTGCAGGGGAAGCTCCTGGAGGCATCTGTTCAAGCTGGCCCAGCCCCAGCTGATGGGATGGGTGAGGAGGGTCTGTTTTGGGGCAGTTGGGAAGAGCTGTGAAGCCAGGGGTACAGCCAGGGGTGCCCAGGGCTGTGGGGCAGAGCAGGATCCTGCAGCCCAGGGCGCTGTGCTGGGCAGGGACTCTGCTGCCTGCCAGGGGCAGCTCTCAACCGGCCCTGGGAGCTGCTCCCAGGGCTGGGGCAGGAGGGCTCTGGGCAAGGAGAAAGCCTGGCAGGGCAGGGAGGATCTTTTCCATGTCTCGTTGTTGCAGGCTCAGACCTGCTCACAGCTCCACACCACTACAGGATATTTCATGGAGAATTTTTGGCACAGCTCAGAAAAGACAGGGGCTCCAGGAAAGGAATTAGTCCTGCTGTGTGTTTCCTACTTAGGCATTGGAGCACAGACATTGTTCTCTCATCTCAGTAGGCTGCACTGAAATTCCAACCCTTTTACTCTCCGAGATGAATATTTCAGGGAGTCTCAAAAATGAGCCCAGGATCCTGGGCAGTGCTGAACCTTGCCTTGGGGGTGGGCACTATCCTGTGCCAGCCCTTGGCTTCCCTTCGGGCGGGCTCTTGTCCTGCTCTGTCCAGCACAGCTGCACCTCTGGGTTGGCACAGGGGACACTGCACAGAGTTGCCCTTTCAAGCAGCCCTGCCCTGCTCTCAGCACAGGTATTGTAAAGACACATCTGTGTGTTAAGTCATCTTCAAGGCAGCACAAGGTACAGTGCAGGAAAGATGGCAAACAGACTGACAGGCACTGCAGCTCTTCTGGTTCTGCAAAGAGCAACAGAGAGCTCAGTCCTTCTGCCTGTCCTGTCTCAACACTCTTCAGATTTGGAATCAGAAAAATTTGCCCCTAAAAAACACCCCCAGGTGTTATGACTGTAACCAAACAACACATTCAAAATTATTTTAAGGATACACTGTGCCTCTCTTGTGCAGCCCAAATTGCTCCAAGACAACAGTACAGGAATTAAACTTTTCCATCCAAGCTGGGTTCCATGTGACATCCCCTGTGATCATGAGAGCTGACAGCTCCATGAGAGCTGTCACAAAGCAGCTCCATGTCTGCGCTGCAGAAGAGCAAAGCTGAGTCTTTGACAGCACATGGGCAGAGATCCCTCACAGCATCCTCAGAGAGCACAAAGCAGAGAAAAGAAATTCCTTTACTTGGTGGGGACTGCCCTGCAAACTGCACTGGCTTTGCTGAGAGGGGCTGCCTTAACTATTCCCTGTGCTTTCCTTTTCTGAACAGACCCTGTTCTAAGGCACAGGAAATATCCAACAGCAGCTCCTTGGTCCAGTTCCTGATCCTGGCATTGGCAGACAGGCGGGAGCTGCAGCTGCTGCACTTCTGACTCTTCCTGGGCATCTCCCTGGCTGCCCTCCTGGGCAACAACCTCATCCTCAGCACCGTAGTCTGTGACCAGCACCTGCACACCCCCAGGGACTTCTTCCTGCCCCACCTCTCCCTCACAGACCTGGGTTGCATCTGCACCACTGTGCCCAAAGCCATGCAACAACTCTCTCTGGGGCACTACAACCATCTCCTACACAGGATGTGGTTCTCAGCTCTTTTTCTTTACCTTTTTCATGTCAGCAGAATTATATCTCCTCACTGTCATGTGCTACAACTGCTACATTGCCATCTGCAAACCCCTGAAGTATGAGACCCTCCTGGGCAGCAGAGTTTGTGCTCACATGGCAGCAGCTGCCTGGGCCTCTGGGTTTCTCAATGTTCTGCTGCACACAGCCAATATATTTTCCCTGCCTGTGTGCCAGGGCAATGCTCTGGGCCAGTTCTTCTGTGATATCCCACACAACCTCAAGCTCTCCTGCTCACACTCAGACTACCTCAGGGTAATTGGTTAGTGCTTGTTTAGCACTTAGTTGTTTCATTTTCATGGTTTTCTCCTATGTGCAGATCTTCAGGGCTGTGCTGAGGATCCCCTCTGAGCAGGAACAGCACAAAGCCTTTTCCACGTGCCTCCCTCACCTGGCCGTGGTCTCCCTGTTCCTAAGCACTGGCATATTTTCTTGCATGAACCCCCCCTCCATCTCCTCCCCATCCCTGGATCTGGCCCTGTCACTTCTGTACTCGGTGGTGCCTCCAGCACTGAATCCCCTCTCATCTACAGCCTGGTTGACCTTGAGGAAGAAAGCACTTCAAATTGTCCAGAACCACCATGAAAACCTGTGTTGTGTTCTAGGCACTCCTTTGCAAGGATCGATATTTAAAAGGTTTTGGTTTCAGGGATGTTGAGAAGGCTGGGCAGTGTCACTGGGAGACCTCTCCCAAACCCTTGCAAAGGCCAGAGCCATCCCAGAGGCTCCTGGGGCCTTGGCAAAGGCAGACATGGAACCAGTCTGCAAACAGGGCAGCAAGGAGGTTTGGCAGAGTTCCAGACTGCTCAGGTTCAGCAGGGAAGTGATCATGGCAAGTCCTGCTGCAGCCATTGCCAGGCATGGGAAGGACAAGGCAGGGATTGCAGAATATCTGTGGTAGGGAATGGATGGGGATGTTGTGTGCCCAGACTTCAGCAGGGCCTTTGACATGGTCTCCTGTGGTCTCCTTAGGGCCAGATTAGTGAGAACTGGACTGAAGACATGGAAGATGTGGTGGTTGGGAAGTTGGTTGAATGAAGAGTGTCCAATAAAATCCATGGTACAAAGTCCTCTTGGCAGTAACTTCCTGATGAAATCCCTCAGTGAGCAGCCCTTGAACACCACTACAGAACAGCTTTATTATGTCTCTGTGTAATGAGAAAAAATGTATTTTCAAGTCCTTTGTGGATGTTGCCAAATTTCAGGAGTCCTTGAGCAATCTGTCTTGGTTTAAAGACACATATTGGGGCAGGAACTCCAATAAAATGAACTCACTCCTCTTTCATTCCCCACCAATACTTGGAGATAAAATACAAGGAGGTATAAGTGAAAAAAATACAACAATTTGCTTTCAAGAAATATAGCAACAAAAATGGCAATACCAACAGAACAGTTCAAAGCAACAACAGAGAGAGAAATTGCCTCTTCTCTCCCCCCCTGCTCCAACTCCCTTTTGTAAACAGATCAAAACAGGGATCAATACATGCCTCCCTTCCCCCTTTTCCCCTGAAGGAACAAAGAACAAAAACCAAAACCAAGGGAAAGAGGGGGCAAAGCAAACTCTGGGAAACTCTCTGGTCTGAGCTAAGTTGTGTTGCCCAAGAACACGCTGACTCCAGAGAAGTCCAAGCGGGGCAGAGCTGGCGACTCCGGTCCGTGCGGCGGCGGGGGGGAGGCAGCGGCTCTGCTTGATTCCATGGAGTGCTGGGCAGGTACAATGGCCCCTTGGTTCCAGGTGATTCCACAGTGTCCCTGCATTCCTTGGGTTCCAGGAGGCCTGACAGTGTCACACTGCCAGTTGATTCCCTCACATTACAAAGAATCAGAATGACCCCTTGATTGAAGGCCAACTGCACATGGGGCTGCCTTAGAGGAAGTGTGGGCACCCAGGAAAGGGAGTTGTCACCTCCCTGGACTCAGCCCTGGTGCTACCACATTTGGACTGCTCTGTCTGGGTGTGGGGCTCCCATGCTGGAGGAATAAGGAAGAACTGGAGAGGATCTAGAGGTGATCTGACAGGATGGAGCTTTTTTCCACATTGTAAATAAAATGAAATCTCCACAAAGAGTAGCATGGAAGGTTCAGACTGAAGGTGAGAAAAAAGAAATGTCTCTCAACGGGGACCGTTATGGTGCAAGAGGTCACCCAGAGAGCATCTGGATCATCCCATGGTTTTGTGTTCCAGGGAACAGCCAGAGCTGAGTAATGGCAGAGACATCAGGGAGGGTCCAGAAATGCTACTGGGAGGAGGGTGGGAAAGCAGGAGGGGTGTGTGCAGCCTGCAAGGCCAGAGGAGCATCAGGGACAAGGGAGCAGAGCCTGCAACACAGATGGTCAAGGGCTCTGGCTGGGCTGCAAGGTCCAAAGGCACCCAGGCCTTTGTGCCCTTGGCTCTGGCAGCTGCCTCTACCACTCAGGCCACCACAAGCAACTTTCCTTTGTCTGCCTGCACTCCTGGTCTGCAAGGATCTGCTCTAAGGAGTCCCTGGGGAGGCTTTGTCAGTGCCTGCCCTCAGTGGGGCCCAGTAATGTTTCAAGGGACTGGGAATTTGACTTCTGACTCCTTGAGTAGCTTTTTCAATCTTCTCTCTGAACCCCAGAATGATGTACTTGTCTCTAAAGGCACCGTGGGGCTCATTAAAATACAGAAAAACAAATTATTTCCTTCTTTTAATTATCTTGATGTTTCCAAGTCTTCAACAACTAAAAGGAATTGTTTTTTAGTTTAGCCTAGGAGGAAGATTTTAAAGTGGATGTCACAAAAATTTATTTTTATGATGAATGGGAATGATTTTCACAGTCTTGGGATGCAAGAGAGTCAGGGGTAGAAAGGATTTGGACACAAATGTAAGGAGGCAAAAGAGATTAGTAGAACCTAATCACTGACCAATTCAACTGTTATCAAGTAATTCAATAGCATTTACTACAATTTTAACAGTGACTGAATTATAGATTCCCAATAAGAACACTCACACCACAGTCAGTCCAGACTCAAACCCAGGCAGAGATGTGTGGACACAACAATATCTGGGTGTGTAAAAAGCCCTCTCCAAAATTCTCCTTTTTGTGAGTGAAACACCCCCACACATCCCTTTGTGTTTCCCAAAAGATAAGGTTCCCTGAGGCTCTGCAAGGTCACAATGGCCCCTTTATTCCATGAATTTCCTTGGCTGCAGCATCAAAGGGATGACTGAGGGTTTTAAAGCATTGGAACAGAATGTCCAGGGAAGTGGTTGACTCACCACAGAATCACAGAATTCTTAAGGTTGGAAAATGTCACAGACGCGGGAAAGCAGGGACACTCAATATGAGAATCAACATGCTCCGTTTATTGAACACACACCACAGCAAAATATAGGATAGATAATGAGCTTATTAATATTCTGTAATTAAACTACATGATTGGTAAGAGCCCTAGAGGTCCGGACTGCCTTTATTTCTTGTTTGTGGAGACCTTCCGTTTTTCATTTTCCCAGGCTGTAGTAATAACAAGATCTTGTTATTGAGCAACGGCTACCGCTAAGAGATTGGCATGACCTTGCTTGGACAGCAGCTACACCAGCTGTGCTTAAAGTTGCTAAGTCGATACCCTCTCAGCTCCTGTGGGTCTGCATGCCTCTTTTCACGTAACCAGTTCTCCACAATTCCCCTGTTTTTGTTTTGGACCAATAAGGCTGTTTTTGTTATTTGCTCTAGTCTACACACCATACAGCTAAATACTATGCGAACTGTAACACACATTTATTAATATGATAACTAACCAGCGTAT